TCCACACCAGTTCTCGCATACGTGATAACGCCGTGGTGAAATACATATCTATATATCATACCAATCGCGTGTATGTATTTGTTCCGGGGAAATCACTAAATGTTTTGTATTTATTGATTTATTTGGTGAAAACAACATTCATAAGCAACTTTTCACATGCATCGCTTATTTAAATTCTCCTTTTTCTATCTCGCTCTCTCTTTTTCCGTTTCTCTTCCCGTTGTGAAGACATTCTCGGCAAACTCGAAACCAGTATGGGAGCCTCGAAAACCTCTGGATGATACTCCTCTATTTTCTCTCCTTGAAAAGGATTTATCATTTGAAGATGCCGCGGCCATTAATCTTCTTTATAACTGTGGAGGTAAGTGATCCGATTGGCCACGTCAGACCTTAGTGAATAAGACGTTCTGTGCTAATGTATTTTCTCCCTGTATCAGGTATGTATGCCGGTTTTTATAAGATGCGGAATTGGTCTATATGGGTCATGTAGAATCAAGGGTAGCACTTCGGTGACCATGGGATCTCATTTTTCAAGGGATCTAAAAGCCGAAAATAAATTTTCCATGCAGCTCACCAGTAGAACAAAGTTTACGTACCCAAGGAAACGATATTTTGTCCCAGTGAGCAAAATGCAATAAATGATTGCTACATTGCTATTCCATAATGAAGAAAACTGATAGCAAATAAATTTGTTTTCATTAAAATCAAAAATGCAGTGAAATGTTCCGAAATAATGTAGTACGCACAAGTGATTGTTGGCCAAATGTAAATAAAGAATACAACCGGCTATTTCTGATGGAATTAATAGTTTCAAAAATGCTCTATTTATTTAGTTTACAGTCAAGAAACCATTTTGAATACATGGATCACTGGCAGTGCTTCTTCTTTGCTTCTTTCATGTCGTGAACTCAGCAAAACGATTATATGCAATCCAAACGGTTATTAAAAATAAGTGAGATAATTGCAGTGTTTACTAATAATGCTATCGATGAACTTGTTAAAACCCCACCGTCTGAATGGAATGGTTCAACTGAGTATCTTTTGATGGATTTAAAATTAACTTAAAATTTGATTCGAACACACCTTTTTTCCAATGGCGTTGCTTTGCTTGCAATAAAGATGATGGATGCACTTGAGACTATTTCCCCCATAACATGGGGTCCTCCATGCTTCTCCAGACCACTTGGTTCTTTGCATCGGTTGTCTAAACACTCCTTAGATCACCTGTCAAATAATAAGATGGAAAGCTTGATAACTAGCTCATCAGGCCCACTTAACTGAATATGATAATCAGGATTGTTTAACGCAAGTTTCCATGCATCTACTTGCCCGAACTCATTTTCGGAATCATCATCCGTTCATCGTTGCACCATAATCATTCAGAAATACAACATTTGACTCTACGGGTACCTAAACATAATGCGAGTTCATTCAAACTGTAATAAAAGCCGACTCAACTTAGGATAAGAAGCTTAGTTGAAAGAAACCAATGAAGCTTATCAGATGTGGTGACCTTGTCGTCGACTCTCGATAAAGACAGTGTAAGATGCTACTTCTTCATAGGTTTTTTTATAAATTCCATCCCAAGAGCAAATACTGACTTGCTGTCTGCATTTAATCCCAGGAAAAAATATATGATTTAGTCCTCCGTCAGAGGATTCTTTTCTGAACAACAACGAAATCTAAAAAGAACTTTCCGAACACTCCAATATTCCATTGCCTCCCCAAAATGTTATTATATGTTATTATATTATTATTATGTGACTCTCAATCCACAGGTCTTCTTATGCATGGCATTTCCAAATCATTAGGTTGAGGAAATGTGATGTTAGCTGAAATTTTTGGAATAATATCGCACCGAAAATTAAGCTCTTTCAATATAGGTTTTCCATTCCTCTTACTCACGTGGTCCAAAAAGATTTTTATTTGTGTTTGGCATAAGTTTCGTAAGCATTTGAGCTAACCATTCTTACCAAAACTACGCAATGACCGTCACGCAAAACCCGGGGGGTAAAAGTTTGTTGTAAAAGGGAAAAATATCAATATCAATGCACCAAGGCGTAAAATTCATGGCCAACTGTTTCTCACTGTTTCCAAAATATATCCGTCACAAGCGGGACGAGAGAGATGTGGAGACTGAATCGGAATAAAATATGTCGGAAACCGGAGTGCGTAACATTATAAGATGGAAAACTCAATAGATACTTGAGATGCCAGGTGTTACCAGCAGTTGAATAAAGAAACTATGACAATCTTTGATTTTTCATTGAAATTACCAATTAGACAGTGATTCATATATCCCAGGACAGATCCCTCGAGGCATTTTTCAAGGATAAAGAACATAATAACAACCAAACAAGATGCAAACAACACAATGATCCACCAATTCGACAATACCTTTGTGAGATTTGGAACTATCTGAGTTTGCCTATCTGGAAAGATAGGGATTTCAGTCTTGTAATTTAAGGCAGGATGTGTATGAAGACAATTGACAGATTTGGTCTGTCAAAACTCCAAAGAATTTTAAATGTTTTCTCCAAATAAAGGTTAATGTAAGTTACGTAAATGGCGCAAGAATGATTCTACAAGTTTGCTTGGGTTGAACTTAAATCCAAACTGAAATAAGGTGTTGTGAATTTTCGCAAACCACTGGAGAACATATGGTAACCTGGCTGATTGAAAACAGTTTCGCGCGCCAGGATACCATATGTATATTTCATACAATGACAGAGATTTACTAGGTAATTCACCTACATAAGTGAAAGAAAGATATAGTGGAAAAAGAGCACCCAAAAATATTTCGAAAGTTTGGTCAGATTTCTAGAACTTTTTTCATTTACTCTGAGACACTACTTACTTTTAGTGAAAACATTAGATAATCAGGGAAGCAACTGCCATGAACACTCAAAAAAGTGAAGCTTGTTCAGGGTTAGTGGCTGACTACAAACTGAAGCTGAATAGCGGTCGACCATAGCACATCAAACAGATATTCCAGAGTCGTTAAGCGATTCCAGAATGAAGGAAAAAGGAAAGAAAAGAAGTGTCTGAACTACACCAGTTTGGTTTTGTGACAAATTGGAAAGACATACCGTTAGATATTCATGTTAGAATCTTATGTGGATGGCACACCTAACTCCCGTGGCTTGGTTTGTCGGTGACTGGGAGTTAAAAGTGGGCCATCGCGGATATGGTTCATGGTATAGTGTTGTGCAAATTTTAAAAAAATAAGCTGTTGCAGTCGACTTAAAATGACCTTTTCAGTTAATTTAATGAAGTAAATGTCAGATCCATGCACCGATCGCGTTTCGTTATGGTATCTTTTTCATTTTCACTTGTGTTATCATATCCCACCTTGTAAGTATACCACATATTCTCGAGGACCTGTTCTACTGTAAATAAAAGGACAATCTGTGACTTGGGTTGTAGAAAGGGATAGACTTGTAGATTAGTCAACCAACAGTGATTCTGTCCATCGCTCAAGACGAAGCAACCTCCGATAAATCTGAAACTTTGTGCATCATAGAATACTGTGCAGTATAGATTCCTTAAAATAAATTATTATTATTTTTCAATTTCATCCACAAAGCACATTGTTCCAAACGGCGTGCACCTTGTCGACCGGATGAGTATCTGACCAAATCCTGTCGCTGTGAAACACGCGAATGTAAGTCGTCGATTCAACTATCTTTAATATATTCAGTCACCGTTCGGCTTTTCATTGCAACAAAAACTTTTCATGCCATCCTGTGCCATCAATAAGGAAAAACGTCCAATATTTTCTTATTCGCATGCATGCACCATCTTGCCTCTTATCTTAAAAGGAGGTGTACACAGAGTGAAATTCGCAAGACCACACAATTGTCCAAGAACTGAATTTACGGACTTGGTTGACTTAGTGACAAACTTCCTTTTCCCTTAACGGTATTGCATCATAACTTTTCGCCTACTGTGTATTTGTTTAGATTACTGTTTGGTTAGTGATTTGCAGCGCATTAAAATGTGTAATACGCGCAAATGGGTTAAAAAATGCGGGAATAGTGCATCACCGTGAATTAGTACGAACTATCTAAGCTCTCCCATCTAGACCGAAACCATCCAGATGATTGGATGTGTGAAAGTACAACGTCAATAACTAATATGTTTACATCGTTGAACCTGAGAATTTAATAAATGTTATTCTTTTATGAGAACTGGACAAAATCTCATAAAGTTCAAAAAAATTGGTGCTTGTTGCGACTCTGTTTTTAAACAACTAGGAGACAACAGTAAATGAGTGCATAATTTTGGAACAAGGAGCTTTGCAAAAGTGAGCGACAAACGTTTGAGTCATCAACATATTCGCAATCCTAAGCACCTTAAATATCTGAATGGTCAAACAAATCCCTGATCAGACACTCCTGAAAATACCTGATTAAACAAATTCCTCATTTTCCTTTTATATTCACGTGATGAAATAATTTGCACGTTTCCAAAATCATTTAAAACTCAAGAATTGCTTCTTTGATTTAGTCTGAAGTTTTCTCAATTAGTTTTCCATCATTTGCGCTAGCTTCTATGTTTGTCATCCACGACAGCATGAGGATCTATTTGGTTAAGTTCGAAGAGAGAAAATGCTACTTAAGTTACAAAGGGAGTCTCAATTCGACAGTCTGACAATAAAGGTAACCACATTTTGAGCAAAGGTACACTAAAAAGGATTTCAAGGGCACTTGACAGCTTTTTCCGATCGATTTGTAACCCTAAAGGATAGTGCTAAGATAATCAACGTTGAATGATTGCAAAAGCTAGAAATCAGGTCTGTACTATATCTCGTATATGGACAAAATAAAGCAAGTGGAGCGGCTGCTCAGTGGTCAAGTGGGCGATATGCTAGCGTTTTTCCTGTGATGTACCGGATTTACGATCTCCGATTGGGTCAACGACTTCGTATTGCCAAAACGAGACTCGATCAGGTCGAAAAAGCTGTACGGTGATTTCCAGATAATATTGTCTTCGAGCGGCATACAGAATGATTTATCATATAGCTTACGTTACCATATAACCCTTTTACAATCAAGATTCATTCACTCACCTCACACGTTATTTACTTAATCATTGCCGGCTTCAAAATGTTTAACAAATATTTAGACGGTAAATGTTTGGATTAACTCATTCTGTTTTTGACACACACCAGACACTGTTGATGATCTTGAGTGTGGGTTTCACTCCTTGCCAGATCGTTGATTCCGTACCAGTTAAATGCATATAAATGAGACGGCAATCTTTGTGATGACCGACAAAAAGAACTAGTGGGGAATTAACGATCTCGCAAGGAGTGAAACTCACAGTCAAAATCATCAGTAATTCCCAGTGCCTGTAAAACACCGAATGGTCTAATCCAAATATTTACGGTCTAAATTGATTGATCTATTCGCACAAGAAGATGGTTATCTAGCGTGTAGCCCAGGAGTAAGGGTTTGAATTACATATCCGAATGTTCGCGGTTCAAGTCCTGACTTTGTCGGTCATCCCAAAGAATACCATCGCCTTCAACTAATATGTTGCATGAGTTAATAGAGTCAAATGTCTGGTAGATTATTACATGCGGAAAACCAATCCTTATCGGAGGAAAGTGACAGTTACTTACGGATTATACTAAGCTTGGAGACAAGACATTGTCATTACATTATCACTCTTGTAGAATAATGAGGCTTACACACCAGCGAATGAAACCGAGCAAACTTTAGATAAGTGGAAGTCTTGAGCAGTACGCGCAAGGGTTGCAGTAAGTAAAAGTTTCTAAAGGGGTTTATTTTAGAGGGGAAAGGTATTCATAATGCTGAGTTCTGGAGTTTGTGCGGAACAGTGTAAAATCGTAATGAAGATCTTCGGAAACTGTCAAAGTAAAATATGCACGCGCATCCACTTGCATTACAATCTATCTTCGACTTACTGGTCAAGGGGTTCGAGAAAACAAACTGAATCAAAAATGAAGCACATCCAGCATATACATTTTGGAGTCACCCATCAGTAGAGCTGGAAAAACCCCAGATGAATCGAGTGTGAGTGATAAAAGGTGTTCAGAAACAGAGGACGCGTTCGCATCGGAACCGATGGAGAATTTTTCATGCTCTAGAATCTTGAAGCAAAGTCCAAACCATTGGCTTATGCAGTCGCTAATATGCGACGCTCAGTAAAGATTAGTATTCAGTGGGACTTTAAGGTAGATAAAAGGTTCCGTTCTGAATTACGGTAAACGTGGCAGAACGTTTTGGAAAAAGTTGGGAGAGAATCCTTTCATAAACAGTTTTGGGAACAAATACTCTGTTTAGAAAACTTTATAATGTTTTGAATATTCGCTGGAATGTCAATAAATTCCTCATCGGTTGATACCGCACAACACATAGTTGCATCATCACCACACCCAATTGCAGTTCTGGTAATAGCTATACAACATATGATTGATGAAAGGGGAAGCAAGAATGGATGAAGGTGTAACAAGCTGAAGAACACCGAAATTATTTATCGGTAATTTCTCAGTCAATCCAGCCAGCTTTTTACGTCCCTCATAACAGTCAATAATCCATACCATTAGACTAAGAAGCAATCAAAGGAGCACAGCTATCTAAGTGGGAGTGATCTAGGAATGAAGTTAAAAGTATGAAATTCGAGAGATGTGCAACCATCATATTCGGCAGAGTTTGGCGATTCACCGATAGAACGAATCTGACAAGATACCGCAACGAATATAATCCTAAGAGATGACAAGAAACCTCGACATTATTTGAAGTTCCTGGACAAATCAGTGCGATCCGTCTGCTTTGCATTACTCGATTAGTCCTCAGACTCAGATCTTTTGTTCCTGACGAGCGCGGAGTTTTCGAATGTTTCACACAGATCATTGCCATCGCATCTGACATTTTTTTTACAAGAGAATGAAACGAACACCGGTTGTCCGTGATACTGGAACATTCCAAGATATTCCAAAATATTTCGGTTCAAAAATTTGCTTATTGTTTCAATAGGATAGAAAATCAAGGAAATCGTATACAACAATGATAAAAGTTAGGCGGAGAATCAGTCTCATAGGTTCAAAATTACTTCGTTTAAGATCTTATTCTTGTTTGTGGCATACGAGCCAAATAGGTAACGTGAATGGAGGTTACGTCACCAGATTCTTAGTGAATAGCCTTACCATGGCCGTCCACTATGTATCTTGCCCGAAAAGGCCTAATGTATCTACTCCAAAAAGCAACCTTTCATATTATCGCTCTCACTCATCCGCTCGTTCAGACTTTCGGCTCTTATACACCAGTAAAACCTGTTTACAAACAGTCTTGTGACAAAGGTTTTCCCTCTTTGAGTTAGCGTCCTAGATATTTTTCTTTCGAAGATAGATATAGCGACCGAATGTTTTATCATAGGTTTACCCTTTTGGACGGCATACCTGAATGAAGAGCCAAGAGAACTTCCTGCCAAAATGTATCAAATAAAATATAAGAATACCTTTCATCTGTGACTGATTCATTAAGCGTAAGTCTGTTGCAGTTTACTCTGTTTCTCTCTTGCCCAAAATTAGATGTTTAAATCTCTGTTCTGCCTCGCTTGCCTCTTTTTCATGCATTTTCATTTAGCTTATGCCTTTCGCCGTTGCAAGGACGATCGGACCCATCGGGCCTATTGTGCTCTGGCTATCGAGTTGAACAAATGCTACGATGAGACCAGGTTGGCGGTACCGTTCTGTCGGAAGACTTGCGGCCGTTGTTTCCGCTCAGGAATATTTGGTCGAATAGCACCTCCGCAAAAAAGTTGGTTACATCCCACCGCATTCATCAACCGAGAACTAAATCTAGTCTCATGGTATTCACTTGATAAGGCGGATTGTCCTTGTCGGTTACACGACAACGCAGATTCGCTGTCATATGTTTGCCACGGTGGAATTGATGGAAATTCATCGCGACAAAAAACCTCTTTGCGTACCTAAAACAATTTGTGGGAACCTTTAAGCTGCCCTAGTCCAACCCACACTTAGCCAATATTTCGAATATCTTTGAAATGGGATAAACTAACAACAAACACTTATGTGCTCAACGAAAGTCCTATATTTAGTCCTAAGAAAACAAAAAAACCCAAATAATCTATCATGATAATTTTCGTTTTCGATATTTCCATCGTTGAGTACAGATAAATATATATTGAGATATTTATTGCGATGTATTGGTATGGCTACGAATCGCTGAAAATCAGCTTGATCGTCGCTTTATATTCTGTTCAGACAAATAAACCCTGTTGCATGGAACAGATATTGTCAACTTCCTAATTTTCATTATCAAAACCTGGAGCGCATATGAGATGTGTGTAGATAAGTATTGATTTTTTTGCACATTCTATTGCACCTCGTACAAAAGGAGCCTTGTCTACCGGGAGTGATGGGCGGATAAGCTTTTGGACCCAGAGTGGTTAACTACTTGTCCGTGACATACGAATATGATGTTATCTACCCTGAGGAAGCGGAGTGATTCATCAAACCTCTGGGGTAATAAAAACATAGGGGACAATTGTGTAAACATGATTGCTTTTTGTGATTACAACTTTCTTGGGGGTAACAACCACAGTGCACTGAATGAAGGACATATTTTTCACTCTGAGAAGAGCCACTCTAATATTTTGGGTGACCCCAAATTGTTTTCTTCAAATATTTTGCAATTCGTAAACATTCGGCAATGTGACAAATTTAAGTTATAAACTTCAATTTGTGGCTGCATCAATTCTTATTCTACACGAATTTGCATAATTCAGACGAATGCACATCCCTCATTCGTATATTTTTACCGATATTTTGACTACAAATTATACAAGTGAAACCGATAATTTCGTAAGATAATGTTGCATTAGACATCACGCAAGTCCGAACTGTTACTTGTGTTTACAGTGTGTGACATTCGTTCCAATTGTGTCTGAAATTTTCCTTCATTTAGTGTGCCGCGACTTGGATCCGAAGAGGTGTCCAAACTTTGTGCAAGAAGGTTTCTGTTACTTTGATGCTTGGACTCGATTAAACTGTCAAAACTCTTGCGGTCTCTGTCCACCACTGCGAATAGCCAAACGTCAGGTGTACAATCTGGACGCTCGCAGTTACTTGGCGGCCTATCAGGAGGGAAAATGTTTGAACCGATTCGATGATCTAAAATGCCAAATTTTTGCCGATCGCGGAGACTGTAAAGAAAATCCAACATTTATGTCCAGCTATTGTGCCCTGGCATGTAATATGTGCGCAAACAAAAGTTTGGGCGATTTGCGCTACCTCCGGTTGAACACTGCGCCGTGCAGAAATTATATTGATGATGATCGCTGTGATGCATTGGCCAAAGAGGTCTGTTCAAACCCAGTTTCCTTGCTCTGTTTCTTCATTCTTGCGCCAGGACTGGGAGGCATTACTTTAGCTGAATCTGAGGACGAATCACCTCTGTTCGATTCTTTGGAGGAGCTGCATTTTCCGAATCTGGTGCACTCCATCGTAGCCGTGGTTTTCACATCTGATTACCGCCTACCACTTTCTTAGAGGGCCTAGTAGAGTATAGGAAATATCAATCTGATAGAACCGTTATCATCACGTTAGTGATTTGGAGAAACTGTGACGTTCTCTGACTGAATTTGAGCATGTGTATGGGTGGTGTGCATGTGGTAGGTTTTTCGAATGTGTATCTGTATTGCAGATGGATGAATAAGGAATGATCTGCCTCTAACTGTAAACTCTGGATCTGCGGAATGCACAGCTATCTGATTGTCTAATTTTCGCTTGTCAATAGCATTTCAACACGTTTTCTGCCAAGCACAGTGATTTTCCAATAACTAAATCACTGTTTAAGATGTCTTCCAGAAGACTTAATAGTATTTTTCTTGATAATCCCTTGAGCACTATATAGCGAAAATGTTTAAATTTTGATTCGCCTAATTTATTTGTTACTATTAAAATCTTACAAATCAAGTTTCTATTTCTCATTTGTGCAACGAAAAACACTAGAGGTGATTTTGTTGTAGCGCGTTTTAGCAGTAGTAGTAGCACGACACTCGGAACACAGTCCACGTAATACGAATCACGGAACACGAATCAAGTATCACCTATAACGGCTTGGATCACTGAAGCATTGCACGGCAATGGCACTAGCACGTAATCTCCCATGTAAATCGCGAGGAAAAGACCACAGGAATAGTATTTTTTATGGGAAGAAATGAAGGCGATTAAATACTAGGTAAAAAAGAAGATCATTGGTTATCCCGGCCTACTCCAATGGCGGTGCAGTATTGCTTGCATACGTCTGCTTCTGTATGGACTGCACGGTCTCGGATGGGTTTGCACGATCTGTCTTTGGTGTGTAGTCCGAATCAGTGATGCGTACGCGCGTCATTGACGTCACCTTTGAAATCTGGTTGATCGCAGGTGTCCAGAAACTGCAAGGCGCCGCTCCAAGGTAGGCGTCACCTCGTAGGCCTGGATCACCATACAAGGACGCTATCTGGTTGGTGCGTCACGACGTTGTTCTCGTACGCACAATTTATCCACTTATGTTTGCGCATCGTGTCGTGATCGATATACACTCGGACTATTGTTTCTCAGTTGTGTTCGCTCCCTCTTGTCAGTGACGGGGCCAGGTTAGAGGTGCTCGTATCAGTCGTACGTCTAGTGAAAGAAAAAAAGCTGGCGACGGGTCAGCCCGAAGCAAAATGGCAATATCGGCTGAAGAACTGGAATCAATCCCGATGCAGCAGCAAGCTCAGGTTGATGCGTCCTAGCTGAGATTAATCTGAGATCTTAGGCGTCAATTAGCGGTTCGATCTGGTTCAAAACCGGAGGCAGTCAAGCCATTCGCATCGGTAGGGCCAATTGTTTGTGTTATCCTTTGACCCTGACGCTGGACTGACATTAGATTCTTGGTTCAGGCCTCATGACGGTATTCTCCGATTCGAGCTGGCAGAGAACGATGACGCATTTAATGTTCTAGTGCTTCTGAGAAAACGACAAAATATATAAAATATGGCACTTTCATTCTTCCGAAAAATGCTCCTGACTGCAGCTTCGGGGAAACTGTGAAATGCCTCTCACAAATATTTGGTGAACAGCACAGTTGTTAATAGATTAAACAGACGGTGAGAAGAGATATATATCTGCGAAAGAAATCAGAATTTAAACGTGATGATGGACTTTTGATAGCTGATTTTCTTTTATGTCTGTGTTTATATGCGTGGAAAGTGGAAGACAGAGGGTAGTTGTAATTGGGTGGGGAGACGAATGAATGTGTTAGGACGGAGCTTAAGCAACATCGTCCGATTGCGCACGCCTCAGAGTCAGGCCACACGCACGCTCTCAAGGCTCCACACAAGCTGAGCCCTATTGGATACTCAGGATGAATCAGCCAATGTTTGTCCAATCAATCAATCAATCGATAGTAGTAGTAATAGAAGAATGGTCAGTGTCAACAATGTTTCCTTATTATAGCAATAATGTTTGTAAACGGTTGGCTATGCTTGACCATGTTACCATTGATATATCTTTATAATTCATGCACTCGTATACTGAAAACAAACAAATTAAATTCAGTATACAGATAAGATCGTTCAAACCACTGCAACTTTCCGATGCTATAAAGTATTCTCTGGGACGTAATTGCATCCTTACTATCGCCAGACTTATAAACTTTATTTTCTGTTTAAATCAGGGCAAATGTTACGGGACAACGAAAAAGCAGTGCCTTGCATCGTGCAATCAATGCGGTAGTAGCTATTGGGAAAAACGCGCTCAAATCAAAGCCGCCCCACAGCCAGTGAAAAGATGCATAGATCATTCGGATCTTTGTCCGCACTTCGTCGAGTTGGGTGATTGTGACCATAAACGGGAGCTGATGGAACGTATCTGTGCAAAAGCTTGTAAATTTTGCGTGGCGAAATGTGAGGATTTCGATCCACCGGAAGTGTGCAATGATGTGGTTCGGCGTGGCTACTGTCGTCGTTGGGGCAGTTACGGTGAACGTTGTGCCCAATCCTGTGATCTTTGCTCCAATTTGGAAAATGCATCCAGCACAGGTTCTAACATCCTGCTTAGTCGACGCTCGGTGGAAGAATCGTCAGTGACTACCAAAACAAATACTGCGGTTCATAGTAGCCAACGTCTTTTACGACCAATCATAGCAAGAATGCAAGGAAAAACCAATCGATTGGTAATGAGAGTTCAGCCACCACAACCTGTTTCAGCTGTTGTGATAAAAGGTAAGCTATCATCATAAGCTTTCAATTTTCAGACACAATCACACAATTATTCACAATCCGTCGATCAATAGCTAGCACAACTTGTATAGTTAAACATTTCCATGCGTATCTGCTGGGAACTGAAAGAACAAAAACATACAGTGGATGTTATATAAAATGGACCATTATTCCATTTAGAGTAGGTGCGTAAACTTGGAATATAAATATTTTGTAAACTTCGTTATCTGTTTTTAATCCACTACAAAGTATAGGTTTTACATGCGCATTTTATGCCCATCAACTGTTGATCTAAGGCATTGCATACATAGCATCCTGAAAGAGGAATAATACTTGTCCACCTGTTTAAAGTTCGTAGTTCCAACCTAAAGAATTTTTTAGCTGACATGAATTTCAAATGTCCAAACCAAATTTCATATTTTGCAATAACTGTTCCATGGACCGTTTCGGTGCATCCCGGATAAAGTTTTCTGTGGAACAAATAGGGTTTCTTATATTGAAAAAGGATGAGGCATATTGATTCTTCCTGACTGACATTCCACGACAGAAATTGACACAATTGTCCCTTTCACTTCGAATTGGTTGACATCGATCTGATGCCGAGGATTTCCACGATTTACGAAAAACAAGAATGATTGACAGAATAGCTTACAATAAATGACATCTCACAGTGATGCTTGGTCTCCACTTGTATAACACTCATTGCTGCACATATCTGCTTCTGGTTATGCATTATTTTCCACTAGCTAACCGTCACAATACTGACGTTTTGTTATACTCAACATTTTTAATACTGAAAATTTTATATTGTGCCTACATAGTCCTTCCATGGCAGTAGGCCTGTTCAAATTTGCACCAAAATTTGTGGACGAATTGGCACTTTAGTGCAAAAGGGAATTCATAGGTTTAACTTGGAAATCGAAGATAGAGAGAACAAGAAATGAGGGCAGTGGTAATTAAACCGTATCCCGAAGATTGGTCATGTGAGCAGCACTAATGGAAGTTAAATAATGGTGAATAGCAATGCGTTATGCTCAGTTTTGACATTATCCGTAAATGGGAGTATCAAAGGTGATATCTGAATATAACTCTGGAATACTTTGATTTCTAGAAAAAATGTGTGAATGAAAAGAAGTCTTTTTTATCGATGAGCATGTTGAAGCAACAAACAGAGTTTCGTACTTCTTCTAAACAAACGTTTTTCAGTTTACGCTTCTTTTGCTATATACACGACGAATTCCCATTTAAAACTTAATCAAATCCTCCATTACTCACTTGACTCAAGTCGTCAGGTTGTCAATGTTTCCAAACGAGTCATAACCCCGGAGGCTAGTACTGAGATAAGTGAGGTCTGTGGCGTGCAACAGGCTCGTAAAGATGGGTTGCGTTGCATCGTGTAAATGGTAAATGAAAAACAGTCTGACCGGCTACTTGGTGGCCGAGTGGGTAGCATGCTTGCATTTTGCTTGCGAGGTCTCGGGTTCGATCCCTAGTCGGGTCGATGGATTCGCACTGCTGATGCAACCCAACCAAGTCGAAACACCTGTCCAGTGATTCTTAGCTTTGCAGTTCACACCTCATTTGCTATATACACGACGAGTTTTCATTTGAAACGTATTAAGGCTTTCACTGTAAAGTATGATACAAGTAATTGGGATTCTAGACTCACCACGATAGTAGACCTATTTAAGCCAAACCTTTATTCAACACTATTCAATCTTCGACACAAAAGTGAATGATATATGGGTTAAGCCATTGACAGCTAACTAGAAGGATATATTAATTATGGTTCTTTTTCAAAGTGAACTGACAAAAATCAGTCAGGAAAACACGTATTGGCTCACATCTTTGCCACACCACATGCTTACACCTATTATATAATACAGTTCCCCAGGTTGTTGTGGAAAATCAAGTCTAAGAATCGGCAGTCCAAGATAGTACTGATCAATTTAGTTTCCAAACTATATAAGTAAAGCTTGAATATTCCCATGCTACCATTGGGAAAACGAGTAGATGAGCGAACAGATGTTTTCGGAAATTCCTAGTCATGATCTTACATATCATATGGTGGAAAAATTCACTTGACCCAAGTGGGGAAAGGTCACATCAACTAACACGCTAAACATTCCTACACACACACACACACACACACACACACACACACACACACTCATATACTCTCATTACTCTCTGCCTCCGAATAATTGACCTTATGTATAAGTAAATTCATGTTGCAAGTAATCGGAGTGATATTTCTTGACCTTTATGTTTTATTGTTGGGAGTAACGAGGGAAACACCCAAGGAAGCAACGACACATTTGTAGTGCGTATATCTCATCCTCAGCATGTACAATTTTACTCCCTTTCCAATTTGGCCTCATTCGTGCGATTACTTGTTTCTTATCTCTATTTTTCAGATTTTTCTTGTCGAGATTCCCGTCCGTCCAGTATGTGTCGTTCTTGGGCTCGCTCTGGATATTGCATTCACCCTCATGTCTCTAGTCTATGTAAAGCAACCTGTACTGTTTGCAAAAGTTCATGATCGAAAATATAGCAATTCATCTCCATGGGAGTTGGATTCAATTTTATGAAATTATTTCAGTGGCCTCGAATATCTTTGAACAAACGATTGAGTAAATTAGAATGCAAAATTTCTCGAAGATTGCTGGCTCCAGAACGAACAAAAAAGGGGAGACTCCATCGGGAGGGCTTGGGATAAATTGGTCCCATCCAATACCTTCATACTATGCAAATGAGTTCCGGATTCAAAATACTGATAGATTAATTCATTCCAAGGATGGATACTTTTTTACAATTATCCATTGGCATGTTTTTCGAATGTTTGTACCGCATTGGGATCAACAACTTCAAAAATCGATTTTCTTCCCAAATTCTGTTGCTCGTTACCATACGCTCTGTCTACATACAATGCTCTATGTACATGGTTTATTCAGCGTCATTTATTGTATTTTAGTTGACCAACATTGAACTGCTAATGCCATGAGGTTGATATGCGTTTGTTTGATAGCAGTAAATATAATTAGTGTAGTTCACGAGAGATCTGCATGTATTCATCCATTTTCGCTTTATGTGCTCTAGTTTGTCTGCAGATAGCATGTCAAATGTTTTTGAATGACGGTTGCAGTATCAACAAAGAAACATTTAGAAGCACCGTACAGTTTGATTTCATTCTCCTTACAAATCACTATCTTTTCCATGACAACTTGCCACCGAACTCGCTGATTTATGTGTCTCACATGCCACTCGCACGCCACGCGGACTGGCCTCAGTGGTCGATTTTTGGTCGAGTCTGTGTGATGAACCACCCGTCACTCTAGTCCACGAAACAAGGACTAACGGTTGTTAGACAGCTCGACTCTTTGCTTCGTGTCTTCGGATTGGCGGCCTGCCGTGATTGAGCAGGTGCTGCCGAATCACCAGTAACATTGGGTCTAAAACCATCCACATTAGGCTGCATTATCACATCAATTCGGACGACATACCGTCGTGACGATCACTCACACCAATAGAAAAGCTGTAGATATTTCTAACACTTTTTAGAGGCCTGCGGTTTGTTAACATTATTAACATTGATCACCTTCCAGCCATTCACTTATTCTTCTTTTACTCGAATGAAATGTCTACTGGAACGGGTATTAGTCTTGTCCAGCTGATGATCCTGATGATGATGATACTGAAGTCAACTGTGATATTTCAACTCACTTATTATCAAATGGAATCCTCTGAGAAACATTCACCTCCTTGCAAGTTTCCAGAGTTGTTTTTTTTTGTTTAGTGGTATCATGTTTCCATTACTGTGTACTTGTCCAAAAGCGCTCATGAACACAAAAGCAGATAACGCGCGCGCTAAATAGTGCACCGTTTCGAAATTCACAGTCCACAAAATCACTTAGATTGTTTCTCCGTTCGGACAATCAACAAGTGATAAGTTTTAAACAGTGATGGGTTGTGAACATTGGTCATCATCAGTTGTAGATAAAACGGATTAGACTTGTAAAACGTTTGAAAGAGGACCGACAAACTGGGTTCTTAAACTGATCGAAAGAGGAAAATCCGGAGAATAAAATGCATCAGTTTGATATCGCACATATTCTTAAACTGATGGAAGCATACTGAAATCAATGCAACAGATTTTCGCACGTGCTGAATGGTTCCTACAACAACGCTCCTATAGCATCATTTTATTTATCGATGATTCTATTCTGTATTCTGTCGAGTCACTGAAAATCGTTCAGCTGCGCAAAACCCCTTGAATAAATCAAACAGATCGTGTAATTTCGGGAACGCATGACACCCTAACAGTCATGGCAGTGAGGTAGGGCCCCAATACAAATATCTGTTCTTGAAGTGTTTACATATTTTGTCTGTCCAGATCCCCATGTACTGGTTTCATGATCGTAAAATCTATCACTCTAAAACTTTCAACGTTACTTAAGTGCGTTTTCCGTTATTTATAGCCGTGTTGATAGTATATTTTCACACTTGCTTGTGCTCAAACTAAGCCTCAAACTAATCGCGATACAAAGTGATTTCCTCATGAGTGAAATTCTGCTAGATTAGCCTGATTAAACCAGATACTTTTCTCGGGCGATTCACAACCGTAGTCTTCGGCTAGCCTAAGCCTGCCCCGTTAAGCAGCCGGGCTGTGTGAAAACCGATTCGGTGCCCAGTCCAGCGGATTATTCACCACTTAGGCAGAGAGAAACATCTAAGGTGCTCACTAAAACTCCATACCCACTGACACAATCATGAAGGTGTGGTGTACTTCGCATGTTTCTTGTTGATCGGTGTAGATGTAGGGTTTTGTGTCAACTCCGCTGGGTGAACTGCCTATAGTTCACCGATTCGGTTGTAGCTCGGGGAAGGTACCTACGCCAGATAGCGGAAGTTATTAGTACCTCAGCAGGAGAGGAAGGCGATGAGAAGCGATTGATTACAGTGAGTCATTTCGTGCAGTACGGTGGAGGGTGTTCATTCCGACCACAAGGAAACCACTCGGAACATTGGTGGGCTCTCGGAGGAGGAGAAAATCAAAGCACCGAAAATAGGGGTCTTCTCTTTTTCCGAGTGGTCACCCTGGCTTATTTTATTTATGGTGCAATGCTTTTCCAGATTACTTTACCTCTTAGGTTCTCAAAATCTCTAAATTAATGGTCAAACAGCAATGAATATATTTTTACATTTACAAGACTTACTCCTAGAAAACGACATTCATATGCATGATTTGAGAATGATAGGATGAACTGGACAGCTGAGAACGAGGGCTTTCTAAGTTGATGCCTTAGGCCAATATAGGCGTCAGCTGAAAATCAGCCATCGAAGCAGTGTAGTTCCGACACCCTTCCGTTCAACCATCTACAGAGAAATCCAAAGTACACAGGATTGAATTCAAGAAAGTCATTAAAATGTCGATCAAAACACCGGTGGATTCTGGCGCACTACTAAAACACAAACCATGGATCTCCTCAACTTCAATCGCTTTGCTGAGCACTCATGGAGTCATTCTTTCCGATGCCGAATGCGACACAGTGCGGAACTACCTTGAAAGCCAGCTCATCAAGAGTCTGAGAAATGACCGCGAGGAGAGGTGAGTAGCTAAATGTAGAGAGACGTTGTTGACTCTGGCTATTGGTGGTAGTCGCAATCCTCTCCGCCTAAATAGGAGAACGGCCCCAAACAAACCGGATGTAAGACGGGTAATGAAGTAATCCGTAAACAAACTGATTCACATTCAGGAACACCATGTTGAACGACAGGCAAAACATTTCAAAGCTCAGCTCAACTAGCCCCTACCGACAGTAGACCTATCAATTCTCACCTGAACTGGGAAAATATTAGAAGTTGAGAGAGAGAGCGTTGAGTGGCGTTTCCAAATGATTTCACCGAACGTACACAAATGTTCAAAGGAGTTTATGTCCGTAAGCAATGACTGAACAGCCAAACAAGAGGGGTCACAATTCAATGACGAGATGGAAACAATAATGGAAGGTCAACAATAACATGCCGGCTAGTTAATAAGTCAATGGAGGACCCTGATTGGATCAGGAAGCAGTCAGTTCGGTTTAATGGTGAGGTTAATCGTGAACGGAGCAATTTGAGTTGAACGCTAAGAGGCACCTAATCCAGTCTCATCCGCAGTACGAATCTATCCACTCAATTCAAGATCGAAACCATAACATGACATTTAGGACGAGAGATACTACACTCATTGACAGAGCTCGACACAGGTAGTCCGAGTTGAAAGTTTTCTGTGTACGCGCGTACATAAGAGTTAGGGCTTGTCGGCATGTGGAGAAGGCATGGATATGATCACATGATCAAACGCGAACTACAGTAGCGAATGCAAACACAAGGAAGTTGTAATGCAAGCAGACAAAGAATCGAACAAAGCGGTAGGCCCGTATTCACATGAGGAAAGCGAGTTTGAATCAGGGTTTTAATCAATAAGTGCTTTGGATAAACGATTGACAACCACAGAAATTAGAAAAATTTGGAGAACAGGTAAAAGAAACCCAACCGTGTGTGCTTAGTGATGACAGGATTGAATTAATGTATCTGATGGAAATGAGTAGTGTGAAACGATGTTCCGTTGTGGGGCATGCGCGGTTTTGGACGCATGAATCCAGTAATGTGGAGTTAGTAATAAACTGGAATGCAAACATTTCAACTATTTCGAGCGAACAGAGAACTTAGTCACTAGTTGGGTTAACATAGATGGAACAGAAATAATGAAATATTGTTTCAGCAGTTGCCTAGAGCGTCTAACTTTCGGAATGAACGATTGATACCTGTGTTACCTTACGTCTGGCGAACCGCCCCATTAGCTTCTGTGTGACATCTGTGCAGTCATACCATGCTTGTGGGAAATACTGACCAGACTAGGAGGTGAGGAGCGGAGAAAGCAATGAATCGCTGCCTGCTTTTAACAAAGAGTATGACGACAGTCAGGTGTAACGAATGTACATGCAACAAATATGCGTTTGTCGCGTACAAAACTTTATGAGGATCCACATGTCAAGGCAGAAACACTGAAGGAGAAACAATGTTAGTTCACGGATAACAAGTCAGAATGTTACTTACTTTACCCCAGTCAACTAGCCAAATCCCAAACTAGGCCTCCGGAACGGAGATGAAGTGTAAACGGCTGAAATAGGTGAAAATATATATAATTAAAGATGAGGCGAACAGGCCTGATTTTAGGGCTCTATCCACTGACCAATTACAGCACATTATCTAACTCAGGTAAATAACGTAGTCAGGCAGTCAAGTCGGGTTTTTAAAATACTCAAAGTGGGAGTTGAGGGATGGGAAAGTGAACTTTTTGATGATACTCCCTTGCAGAGTGGGAATATTCGACGGAAATTTGGGGCGTTTCGGAAACATGGCCAAGGGAGGGCAAGATATTTCACGAAATTTCCCTCTGCATATAATAATGGTTCATTTATTCTAATCGCTTTCTCCTCGATTGTAAATAGCACTTCAGCTCTGAATTCTTTGAAACAGACTAACATCATCAAACGGATTGGACGGAAAGATCCTGTACATGAATTTTCCCGGCCATATGTACAGC